AAGGTAAAAGGCATTTAATTGGATTTATACAAGGGGTATCTTGTTTGGCTTCCTGATTCTAACATTGCCCAGACCTGCATGAGAGTCAAAGTCTTCTGTCACTGTTGGCCCCCTCAACTGGTACTGAGCATCTTTTCCTCTGTGGACATGGAGGTTATGTACAGTAGGAGGATGACTAGTAGCCACTGAAAATCTAAAAGATTTATCTAATCCTGCTTGAAAGGGCAAAACAATGATATAATTTGAAGAGGAACCAAGAGTTGAAATCATGTCAAGCAATGTATCCTGGATTTAGATTTACATGAAAATAATTACTCATCACTGTAACATCAGCCTTTGGAACAGAGGCATTTCTGCAACTAAGTATTTACATAACATCTTCTTTCCTCCTTACACAACATTTACTCTCACAAGGCTTAATGCTATACCAGCAATGGTTCTGGAAGAGATATACTGTAGTAACCATCTCTTCCAAGATTGAATCTGTACTTGTGTAGAGGGCATAGTTGAATCAACATCACACATTTTTTTGAGCTGTCCAATATGATATACGTAGCACTCCGAGCTAGTATCATCCCTCCTTGCTAATTGCTCTGGCTGTTTTAAGGAAAATATGTTCATCTTATTGGCAGATAAATCTTCAGAAATCTCAGAAAGGTTTGCAAAATATTGTTCGATCATTATGGCAGTAAGGAAATTTTGGTTATAAATAAGATTTGGTAATTATTTTCCATATTATAAGCAATCAGCCATATATTTTACATTTTAATATTTTAGTTTTATTTTATGTTTTGTTGTTTGGTGTGCTTTATGAATTTTGGTCCATGACTATTAATAAAGAAATCTAAAATCCTCATTTAAAGTTATTCAGATTGATGCCAAAAGCTCAATTTGCCATTGTGACAGCAAATTCCATAGTTCACCTGTATAAAGAAGTACTTTCTTTGATCTGTTCTAAATGTCTCACCAGTCAGTTTCACTGTTTTTGTACTGTGAGCCATAGAAATAAAGATCTCTTTATCTACTTGTTTAGAACCACATATAATATAATGCATTTACCTATGGTATTCATTCCATTTTCTTTTTCAGGTTTGCTTATTTTACAGGTGATCTTTCTGTAGATGACACTTGGTGCTTTGTGTAATGTGCACATGGTTAGTCCTCCCTCTTCCTCCAGCCAGTCTCTTTAAGCCTTTCTCTCCCCTTCCCTCATTCTGTCCTGGAGATCAATCAAATCTTGTCTCTTTCAAAATCACTGCTGATTCTCTTTTCACACTTTTGTTTTAATAGCAAATACTAAGTCAATCAGGGTGACTGCATTCAAATCTCTGTTGGCTCATTTGCTCCCTCATAGCGGTATTCCTGAAAACAAAACCCCTTGGTCTTTTGGTTTAGTCATGAAACCTACTTATTTTCAGGAACAGTCAGGGGCAGTGAGCTAGGCCAATCCTTCGGGGGGCAGGGGGCAGGGTTAATTTGTAGATAAGTATCATATCTTATCATGATCCGTCACGGATTCATTTACTCCTCAGCATTAAAAAGCCAGAATGGAAATGGATTCAACTAACACAGAGGTTAATGTAGAATGATGGGCTCTTTCATGTGGCATTTTCAAGCCTAGTTTTTGCAATGGGTTTATATGAGCAGACATAATTGTCTGCACATGTTCAGTTGCATTTGCTTCAGATTACTTTGCTGTTCCTGCCCGGTGACATCAGACTTGGTGCTAATATGGGAGGCGTAGAATGCATGTGCTATATTATTCAGATGCAGCCAGCTCGGGATTGAAAAAGAAAGAAGGAATTCAAATAGCACAGCAGTGGAATCCGGGAATGACATTCCTGCCCTTCTATTTTACTGATCTGTGTTTTCTAGGGAGTTCTCTCCCAATTCTTAATGAGGAATCCATCCATCCATCCATCCATCCATCCATCCATCCATCCATCCATCCATCCATCCATCCATCCATCCATCCATCCATCCATCCATCCATCCATCCATCCATCCATCCATCCATCCATCCATCCATCCATCCATCCATCCATCCATCCATCCATCCATCCATCCATCCATCCATCCATCCATCCATCCATCCATCCATCCATCCATCCATCCATCCATCCATCCATCCATCCATCCATCCATCCATCCATCCATCCATCCATCCATCCATCCATCCATCCATCCTTTCCTTCTATTTTGTTCTGGAACAGTGACACAAATATTGATGAGATGTTGCACTGACTAGGTAGTCCTTGACTTGCAACCATTTGTTTAGCAACTGTTCAAAGTTACAATGGCGCTGAAAAAAATTTACTTATGACTGGTCCTTGTGCTTATGACCACTGCAGCGTCCTCACAGTCACAAGATCAAAATTTGGGCACTTGGCAATCAGCACACATATTTACAACGGTTGCAGCATCTCAGGGTCATGTCATCACCATTTGCAACCTTCCCAGATAGCTTCCGACAAGCAAAATCAATGGGGAACCGCATGATTCACTTAACGACTGTGATTTGCTTAACAACCACGTGATTTACTTAACAATCACGGTGTTTCGGTTAACAACTGCTGCAAAATATGTCGTAAAATTGGGTGTGGTCATGTGATGCCTTGCTTAACAACTGCACCATGTAACAATGAATTTTCCAGTCCCTATTGTGGTTGTAAGTCGAGGACTATCTGTATAACCATTAGAGGACATTCATTACAGCATAGGATGTTGGGGTGATAGGGATCACAGTGAGATGCCTGGGAAGTCACATTTCTCTCTGATAAAGAAGGAAACCGTTATTTGGGGCTGGTGAGCATCTCTGAAATTCTGAGAGCTTTGTGGATGCTCTCAGAAAAGAGCTGCCATGAGATTTACATATTATGAAATGGCTCTACATAATGGATGTAACTAATCCCAAAATACCATTTATCAGAAGGTGAGTGCTCTCCATCATCTCCCCTAACTTGCTCATCAAGGTGATCCTCTAGCCTGCCTTTCCCAAGATACAATGGCAGTTTACATTTTCTATATTTTTCTGGGCAGATGAGCATTTTTTTTTTTTTAAGTACAGGGTTGCAATCACTTTTTCTATTCTAAAAATGCCTATAGGGCCTATGTGAGGCCTATAGCATTTCTGGAAATAAAAATGATGCTGAGGGCAGGCTGCTTGTTCTGCAGCGTGATGTCTTCTCATTTTTTAATTAATGAAATCGTCTCTTCCTCCCCACCTTACCTCTTCCCACTAGGCCACCTGAAGTACTTTTACTCCATCCATCTCACTCTGGTATCAGAATAAGGCTAGGAGAAAAGTGCCTGTGGGACAGAGGTACAGGCTGAGCTGACAGATTGAAGACTGTGCCAGGCTTGTTTACATGTCTGCCTCAGTCACATAAAGTGGGAGGGAAAATCTAATTTTAATGTTATAAAAGCACTTGGTTGAAGGGAATATCTTCCTCACTTGTCGGTGTTTTTCTTCAACCTTAATCCTTTCCCCCAAAATAAGCCAATCTGGGATGAAAGGAAGCAAGGTGGGAAGGGGCCCCCATTATGTTAAATCTCCCTCCTCCCACTTTATATGAGAATAAGACTGCTGTGTGGGCAGCCTATGTGACTGCCCTGTTTGTGTAAAACTTTGAGTCTTCAGTGTGTAGAATAGCTCTGAGTCAACTGTGTTATAAAGTTACCTTCAGCAATATCCCACCACTACAACAAAGCCAAACATTTTCATGACTGAAAAGCTGTTTGGCAACCTGCACAGGTGGACTTCTAAACCTGAGTATTTAAATTTTTACATGGATTTTTCTGCCTACAATTCTGTATAGCAAAACGAATGAGGGAAATAATGAAAGATATGCAGTTTTGGCAAGCAGTTGTCATGGATTGCATCACATCATATTTTACCCTTGATGCTTTTGTTGGACATTGATACAAGCTCACAGAGAATGCCCAGCCTGCCAGTGGTGGCAGGCCGTACAGTCCCACTGAGAAAAGACTTGTTTAGCTCAGCAAACCTTTGAGCTTTACAGGCCACAGAAATTCTGAAGATTTCCTGGAGTAGATGGGTGGGAAACCTGTAAACCTATCCAACCCCCAAGCTGACGTTTGCATTGTCCAAGGCATGCATGAAAACAAAGCACATTTTACCCTTCCACAAGTTTCAGGTCACCCCTCGAGTGCAGCTCTCTCTTTGACCTCTAAAAGTGGCAGAAAGAAGTTCCCAACATTGTGTATGGCAGCCTCCTTTTTCAGGCTGCCCTCTTGTCCCAGTTTTCTGTCATCACTATTGAGATGGTGGATGATTGATCTGAGAAATGAAGTTGGATTGCTGTCCCAAATCTACATTCGGTTCTCCTTGTGACTGTCTGATCAATTTCACTCCGTAAGACACAGCTTGTCGGTATGAATTTTCATGCTAGTCAGAAGCAGACAGCGCAACCCAGAACAAGTAGAAGATGTCTCCATTCCACTCCAACCTTTCTTTTTCTTTCCTTGGTTGTCGCATTATAACAATAATTATTGTTATAATTATCAGCATGCTTATTAATCGGGTAGTCATCTGTTTTGTTCTTTGAGACTGACTGGAGTGGGAGAGAGAACTGGCTCCAGCCAGCCTTTGGCCATCTTGTTGGAGATATCTGGGTCCTGCTTTGTGGTGATATACCCTACTGCCATTGCACTAGGTGTCACCTGTTTAGCAGCTCCTCTCAGCAGAATGCAAGTGGCCGCAGGTGCCATGTGAATGCTGATTCTGTCTGACAGCTGTAGACGCCAGCTGCCTGTACAAGGCCTGCCCACTTGCCACTTTTTTGCAGCTAGAATTCTGCCATTGGCAGGACCGATACAAAAGCAATAAACTAGGTGACGGTAAAGCTAAGATAAGTCCTACTAAGTGGCATTTTGAGCCCTATGGCTTTGAAATAATTGGGAGAAAGAGAACAAAAAGAAAAAGAAGAAGAAGAAGAAGAAGAGTAAGAAACAGAGAAAAGGAAGCCTATTTTTCTTACACTGATGCCCTGCGGACTATACATCTGACTTGCTGTGAGCCCGTCACTGTATCCTCCTGTCTGGCTGATAACATGGCGAAGGGTATCCACCTAAACAGACCAACAACAAAGAAAGAATTAGGAACATGTATATTAGAGAAGAAGGATTTCTTTGGAGGTCATTACAATAGGAGTATTGGTTCACAGTCAAGATTTCCCTGTGTTCACTCTAAAGAATAAAAAATGAAGCTGCCTTCCACCCATATCCCCATCTATTGCCACAGTCTATAACAGCAGCAGTTTGTGCTGGATTCTAAAACGATGAAGAAGAAAATATACAAAGGGAGTAGGAAATTGTTGGAGTTTCTTTGACAGTCTTAGCAATTATATGGGAGCGAGATATTTCTTTCTAATCTGTTAAGTCTGCTATTTACTCATCAAGCACGTAACTCAAGATTTCTCAATGCCGCTTGCAACTGAAGGTAGTTGACTTAGTATAAGTGAACTTATGTGAGGTCCAGTACTCTGCATCTCAGGCTCATCCATTCCTCTTATTGGTTATTAAGCTAGCGTGCATTCTCCGCATTCAGTGTAACATATAATCTGCACTGGCTTTAGAGGCACTGCCAAAAGATGGATATGTTTGGGTAGTTGGCAACATTATTAAGAACTCCAGTGAGATGTGGTAGGGAATCCCAAATGAGATGGGGCAGAGGTAGAAGGAAATTCCAGAAAAAGTTATGAATACCCAAGAGGCTAGAATGGCAATACCTCCTGTTATAACTACTGCATCAATAGTAAATAGTTTCTTTTTCTGACTTGATTTCTTATCAAACCGGTTTCTAAGAAAGGATGGCAGGATTTGATCTGACACTGAAATAGGACAGAGGCCCTTCATTAGTTTACCAGCATTCACTTATTATTAAGCTAGGCAGAAGATAAAAATATGGAAGCCTGAATAATAAACTCCTTTTATATGATTCCTTCTCCCAGAAAATCCACTAAGCAAATTGGCACTCTTTCCATTCAAAATTTTGATTTTCCTCCTATCAAGCCAGAGCCAAATGCATTCACAAAATGTAGGCAGGTTCCTCGTTTTTATTCCCTGCTGGTTTTGTACTTTTGTTTCATTTTGATGGATTTGATGGTTGCTGAGTTTTAATTCCTCTCGTGGGACAGGAATGGGGGAAGCCAATAGGATCAAAGCCCTTCATTCTGACACTGATGCATTCACTGGCAGTACATCCGATGGATCCCTACCTGTGACTGCACGTTGGCTCCAACCTGGGCCCCTTGGTAAGAATCCCCATTGAGTGACTGCACGCTCATGAACAAATCTCCAGAGTTTGACATGTTAAAAGAACTGGAAGAACCTGGAAAGGAAAGAGTGAGGCACCTGAATCATAGAAAGGAAGAGGAGCAACCACTCGCCTGTCAGCCAAGAAGAAGGAATGGCATGCAAAGCAACCCCAAACAGAAAACAATATGGTCAGGTTAGTAGCACAGAGAATAGTGCAAGCAAAATTAAAATTAAAAAACAGAGAGGGTATAAGAGCTATAAATTTTACATTAAAAAAAAAAAAGACTGCTCTCTCTCTCTCTCTCTCTCTCTCTCTCTCTTTAATGGCTTTCAACAGGAAATAGTCTTTCAGATCTTGATGTGTGGTATAGTTCCAGTTTGGGGGGGGGATGACAAGTTTGTTATGGACAGCATTCTAATACCTTAACAAGCATTGATATTTTCAGCAATGATGTCTGGAGGACAGAGTCTTATTAGTCTAAAATCACTTCCATAAATGTAAATGTATAGCCAATGAGTACAGCATGCCATGCTTAGACACTGCCATTTTCAGGAGGGGTGCTGGTGACAGCCCGTAATGAAGCTGTTATGGCCAGCTTGGCAGGCTAGTGAAATGTGGCATGGAAAACAGACTAAATAGTTGCATTCTATACATCCAGATATCCCACACATCTACATCCAGAGAGGAGTACGTGTCACTTGTTGGGCAGAGGAGAAAATGAGGCACACGCCTGTGGTCATGCTCTCTTTATCTTTTCCAAGTTATATCAAGCCCTGTCAAGACTTGAAACTGACTACATGCAGATATTATCTTGATCACCAGTTGAGGCTGAAAAGGCAATTCCAGATGCAAATCTTTTTCAGCTTTCCCCATATGTCTCCTCTCCCAAATATGCCTTAAAAGTGGCAATCTAACTGAAATGCATGAGACAGGCTGGAGGGGTTTATTTTTGAAACTCTCGTGCAACTCAGTATGTTAAGTATGAGAAAGGTCAACGTGCAAGGTTTAGTGCTAAACATGACATTAGGCTCGAAGGGAGAGACTTCAGGGGCCCAGGTCAGCTCCACTGCACTACTGCAGTGCCAAGCCGTTCAGTGCTTCCCCTTGGAAGATACACAATTGCTTTGCTCTTTGTAAAACTGCTCAATGGCAGTGTGTAGGCAGATGCTCTGTGTAACTTCTACTCTGGTTTAACTCTGCAAACCCTTCTGCTTAACCCCTAGTTCCCAAAGCAAAGTGAGAAGACACATCTGGAAAAGAGTACACTAATTATTTCTCTGCTCTGGCTAGTCTGTGCAAAGTCCTTCTTTCCCTTATTAAAAAGCCTCTTAGAGGATAGATTCTAGAACACAACAATAGTCACTAAGGGCTAAAAGTTCTTCAAAGTCTCCCATAGCTAACAGACCCCTGCTGCCTTCACCAGTTTTGGAATAGTTTCTGAAACTATTACAAAATAATTCAGCAAACAGAAATGGATTGCAAATGAACAGCCAGTTTTGCAATGGATAATCCAAGAAATCTACTGGAAATTACCTTGATTCATTTTCAATATCTCCCATTCTTGCATTGCACTTTTTTAAAGAATGCAATTATATCAGTGTTTTGCCTTATGTGACACCCGTCCTCTGAGCATACAGAAGCTTTCCCAACTTTAATTACTTAATTCTCACAGGAATGTCATGGGAGTAAAAGTACAACTCCCCTCCAAACAGATGGCCTCAATAAATGATCTAGATTTTCAAGGTCATGCTGCATCATCTTGAAGAGATTCTAGGAACTCCATGCACCATCCTGTCTTTCAACATCTGTTTAGGCTGCTTGAACAGAATAACTACTTTCTTCAGCCTGCCTTTTAAAATAGCACCCAAATGAATAGCATTCTACCCATTTAAGAGATGGGGAGGGGAAAAAAAGCCACAGACTTTCAGTTGAAATAACAAAAGTATTAATACATGCTGTTTACAGAATATATATTGCTACTGACATAGGTAACACATCTATCAGGATGTTCTCCTATGCAAATACTGAGTAAAAGAATAGGAACTTCAAAAATACATTTTATTTAGCTTGCATTGTTTTCTATGGTGTTTGTACATGGATGTGCTTTAGGTTCTTCATAACATTTATGTACATCTTTAAGTGGAAAATGTGTCATGCTGCTTCTGCTATAGATACAAAATAGGTAAAACATGACTATTATGTACATTGTATTAATGCACAGCAGTAATTGTTGAGATGGCACTTTGTGCCATCTGTGGTGCTGTCTCAGCATTTTTGGCAGCAATACAAAATTATAGAAGGGGAAACACCAAGGATAGTGATGATTATACAGTGAAGGGGGGGAAAAACCCTAGATATATTATAGTGATTAAAATAAACATGACCAGCCCCCCCTCCCCAAAAAAAAGAACAAAAAAAACCCTAAGGGACCTAAGGAAAGAAGGTAACTGAATATTGGGTTTAGTGGACAAAAACTGTTTTTGCGGCTCTCCATGATTTTATTTATGCTGCATATCTTATAACCTGAGAAAGAACTTAATTCTGTGAGCAGCATCATTCAAGGGGTTGTCATGGAGCAGCAGACAAGATGATCAGTATATTATTACATCTGCAAAAATCTTCCAGAGATATTCTAACCATCTTCACAAAAGCTCTTTTTGCTACTGCCCAAATGTGTCCGATGTTTCTGCTGAACAGAGTCTAACAAATTTCCCTTGAAATTCCATTTAAAATGCACTGTCAATTCTAATCCCAAATTGTATCAACTTTGTTCACTAGCATTTCCCCTCACCAGAACAGACTTTTAACAGGACACAGAAAGCTGGGAAGGGAGAAGCAACACTTACAACATAGCCAGGACAACACAAGACATTTTAGTGTCTGAAGCAAATCTCTTCCTATTATTGGTAGTACAATAATAATTTTAAAAATTGATAAATGCTATCCTGTAACATTAATTCATAATCTGCTTCCTGAATGGATCTGTTTGACTTTCAGCATACATTACTATGTCTAAGAATATGATGCAGAATTTCCGTCTGTTCCACTACTATACTACTCAATTTCTGGGTTAAATAGGAGGAACGTTATCAATGTGTTAGTGTTTTAGTCCCTGGGTTTTTACCTTCTTTAGTTTTTTATTGTATTGAATGTTTAATTTGTACATTTCCCAGAGTCATCTTGAGTTGGGCAGCTAATGTGATAGCTAGATAGCTAGATTGCTAGAGCTAGAGCTAAAGATTTATAAGGCCACCCAATTCAACAGTGTAACTCTGGATAGCATAAAAATAAACTATAAACCAAAAAGACCCACTCCCAAACCATATAACAATATACAAACATCAACAATATATAAATATAAAATACAAATAGAACAGAACAGAGAACAACCAAAAGGGGACTCTTGCCCAACTGGCCCCTAGTGCCTGGGGAAGAGCCAGGTCTTAATAGCTTTACTCTTAGATAGACAGATAGACAGAAAGACTACAGATGGTCTCAGTAGTGTAGTTGCTCTGTAGCCTTGCTACAGTGTTTTGCATACCAAAATAGCAATATGAAGTGAAATATGTGAGTTTCCATACCTAAAGAAATCCTCTCTCTCTTTTAGCAATAGGAATGAGTATCTGCACAAATGTGGTAGAGAGATAAACAGCCCATTCAGGAGGGAACATTCAGAGAATGACATGGCTGGATAGTTTTGTTTTTTTTAATGTCATCAGGATACCTGAGAAAGTGTCTTAGGAAGAGCCTAAGAGGACACTAGTTGAATTCAATGGGAATTACTTTGGATAGCACATAGGGTTATTACATCTAATTCTTCTACCTGCTGAAGTTTCAGAAATCAATACCCTGAGTGCATTAAGAGTAAACCAATAAAATACATTAATAAATAGCATGCCTGTATTTAAATAAGGATTTAATGATAGGAAGGCAGATTCTAATAGAATGTTACAAAAAGCTTCTCTGATAGCAGAACCAATTACCCAGAGAGATGGTGGGCTCTCCTTCGCTGGATGTGTTCATGCAGAGCGTAGACAACCTGGGATGACTTCCCTGAGATTCTGCACTGAGCAGAGAGATAAACAGCCCATTCCAACTGTTCGCTTCCATGGAAAGTTTTGAGGGTTACTCTTTCTTTACTGTTTAGTTTGAAACAAATTCCACACTGCAGTTACTTTGCCTCCCTTTTATTACACCCTCAGCCTCTCTCAATATCCAGTGGGGCAAAAAAGTATTTAGTCAGCCACCAATTGTGCAAGTTCTCCCACTTAAAA